CCCCCACCCGCCTCACCCCCACGCCTGCTTCGTTCTCCCGACGCCCTCTGGTCGCTTCCATCCCCCACACACCCCCGCACCCCGCTGTTCCTGGCGTACCCCACTGGCAGGCACCCCGGCGGCCGATCCAGGCCTGCTGCCCCCACCCCGGGATGAAGGCGCGGTCGGGCCCTGCTCTCGGAGAGGGTCACAGATGGCGTGGGGATTTCCTGGGATAGAAATACCCGCCGGCTCTGGCCCCTTAAAGCTGCTTAAAGGGCGGGATGCGAAGGGGAGGGTCCGAGCACACCCCCGCACCTCCCTGACTGCGCCCCCAGCCCTGACCCTGCAGGGGTGACAAGGCCCTTCCAGGACCTTCTGCGAAAGGACCGAAACCAAAAAATCCCGAGGCTGACAGAGTCATCCCCTCATCCATCCCCTCCTCCACCTTCGTGGTTCACCTAGAGGGGCCCCTTCTGAAGCCCCACACCCAGCCACCCGGTCCTGTTCTGGCCCCAAGGCTCGGGGCTCCAGATAGCCTGGGGGAAAGGTCATGAATCCCCCTCCTTCCGTCCTGGTTCCCGGCAGCAGGTGGGGCGCCCCAGGCTGGTTCCAGGGACATGTCACCACAGGGCTGTTCTCTCTCTTTTCTCTAGGGGGAGACCACAGAACCCGAGGCCATGCCCCATGAGAAGAGTTTCTTGGTGTCTGGGGACAGCTATCCTCCCCCCAACCCTGGATATCCTGGAGGGCCCCCACCGTCCATACCTCCGTATCCTGGGGCCCCTTACCCACAGCCCCCATTCCAGCCTTCCCCCTATGGCCAGCCAGGGTATCCCCAGGGCCCCAGCTCCTACCCCCAAGGGGGCTATCCTCAAAGCCCCTACCCCCAAGGGGGCTATCCTCAGGGGCCCTATCCCCAAGGGGGCTACCCTCAGGACCCCTACTCCCAAGGGGGCTACCCTCAGGCACCATATCCGCAGAGTCCCTTTCCCCCCAACCCCTACGGACAACCGCAGGCCTTCCCAGTACAGGACCCTGACTGTGAGTAGTGGGGCAGGGGGAGGGCAGGGGCTCCGGGCGCCTGCAAGTGGCACTGACCCAGCCCGTTCTGCCCCTCAGCATCTCAGCATGGGAACTATCACGAGGAGGGACCCCCATCCTACTACGACAATCAGGACTTCCCTGCCACCAACTGGGATGACAAGAGTATCCGCCAGGCCTTCATCCGGAAGGTGGGCCGCAGGGGCTGGGGAGGGCAGGGGCAATGGCCCGGGGCGGGACTTTTAGCTGGCTCTGTCCCCAGGTGTTCCTGGTGCTGACCCTGCAGCTGTCTGTGACTCTCTCCACCGTGGCCGTGTTCACTTTCGTCCGGGAGGTGAAGGGCTTCGTCCGGCACAATGTCTGGACCTACTACGTCTCCTACGCCGTCTTCTTCATCTCCCTCATCGTCCTCAGCTGCTGTGGGGACTTCCGGCGAAAGCATCCCTGGAACCTCGTTGCACTGGTAACCCCAAAACCTGAGCCCCTGGCCCCCAGCTAGGGTCTTTGGAGCGACAGAGGGGGATGGGGGGGTGGGGAGCCAGCTCCCCATACCCAAGGCTCCGTCTCCCCACAGTCGATCCTGACCATCAGCCTGTCCTACATGGTGGGCATGATCGCCAGCTTCTACGACACCGAGGCAGTCATCATGGCCGTAGGCATTACCACGACCGTCTGCTTCACAGTGGTCATCTTCTCCATGCAGGTGAGGGGTCCCCCAAGGCAGGGCTGCCGGCCCTGGGGGCCCAGAGGGCTTCCAGGGCCTGGAACCCAGGGCCTCCTGTCTCTCCCTGCACCCTCAGACCCGCTACGACTTTACCTCGTGCATGGGCGTGCTCCTGGTGAGCATGGTGGTACTGATCATCTTCGCCATCCTCTGCATCTTCATTCGGAACCGCATCCTGGAGATCGTGTACGCCTCGCTCGGTGCTCTGCTCTTCACCTGTGTGAGTGAGGGGGGTGGGCAGCTGGGGTGGGGATGGTGGGCAGGCCAGCTTGTCCCTCAACACTGCCATGCTGTCACCCTCAGTTCCTGGCAGTGGACACCCAGCTGCTGCTGGGGAACAAGCAGCTGTCCCTGAGCCCGGAGGAATATGTGTTTGCTGCGCTGAACCTGTACACGGACATCATCAACATCTTCCTGTACATCCTCACCATCATCGGCCGCGCCAAGGAGTAGCCCGAGCCCCTGCCGAGGACCAGGCAGTTCATGCAGGGCCCCGCTCAGGTGGCGTGGCTGGTCTGGATCCTGCGCTTGGCGTGGCAGTGCCATCTGTACCTCCCCTCTCTCGTCCCTGGGCACAGCCTGGGACAGAGGGAGCCCCCCTCCAACCCTCCTGTGTGTGTACACTGCAGATAACTTCTGTTTGGACCTGCTGTGGCCAGCATGGCCCCTTCTAACTCTCCCGCCCCACCAAAGGGCAGCGGGGCCGGGTTTTCATGCCATCTCCTGCCCACTCACTGTTGCATGAGCCCTGTCTACCAGCCCACCCCAGGGTCTAGGGGGCAACACCAGGTCCCAGGGGAGAGAGATCGAGCCAAGAGGTGAGGGTGCACGTCTCCTGTCCCAACTCCCCTGCCTGGCATAGAGTATCTCCTTCCCCTCCTCACCCCTACCCCAGAGCACTGCCCTCTGGGGGGCCTGAGGGGTGAGGGTCTCGTCCCTGTGCTGAGCCCTGAGGGCAGAGAGGATGGGAATATTTCGGGGGAGGAGGATGCCTTCCTCTCATTTTGCTGTCTTTAAAATTCCAATAAAGGGGATCTTCTGCTCTCTGCGTTCTCCTCTGTCACTCTCTTTTCACGCTGCTTCTTCTGTGAGGTGGGGCGGGAGCTCCAGGCATCACCAGGTGATGGAGGGAGCAGGACCAGGCAGTGATGGTGGGGGTTAGCTTGTGGTGGAAGTTAATGACAGTAGCTAATTCTTTTCTATCCACACTTCCGCCTCCCTTGCAATCTTCCTAGCCACGTCATAACGTATGTGCCAGGACTTCCAGCTGATGGATGGGGACCGAGGCTCCTGGAGGTAAAGCGTGGTGCCTGGGTCACATGATGGTAAGCAGCCTGGCAGTACCTACCACTCACTCCTGGCAACTGCACAGTATGATGGAAGGTCCTGTGAGACCCTTACCATCTCACCCCGGGCCCGAGGGGCAGCAGGGTGACTGCTGCTGTCTCCTTGAGCAGACCTGCCCCAGAGCAGGTCTGTCACACTTTTCAGGCTCTGCAAGGCCCCCAGGGAGCCCATCAGTGGGCACGTCACATGCCGCCCAGGCCTGCCTCTGACGAAGGCCCTCCACATTCCTCCCCCCTCCCCTCGAGAAACCTGCAGACTGGAGCCCCTGGTGGAGGGCTGGACAAAGACTCCAAGGGCTCTGTCTGGCCCCTTGGCCTGCCTCTGGCACCTTCTGCTGGCCTCTCCAGGCCCCACCCTTTCCTGGGCTCTCAGCCCCAGCTTGTTCTGCATGTTCTCTCCTATGGCTCTTGCTGCCTCAACTCTGGAGCCCTCACTCACCTACCCCAGGCTCTAGGGTATATGTTCAAAGGTCAGCCAGCTGTCCGTATCCTCACCCTCCCCACAGAGGGACCCCTCCGCTGCCTGGGGCCCAGCTCTGCCTGAGGACCTCCCTGCCCTGAGCCCTCCTGAGCTCCTAACCCAAGTGGACACTCCTCACAGCGGCCTTCTCCCACAGGACCCTCCATCTGGCTTGGCTTGAGAACTGTCTCCCAGGGCTCCTCCACCTCCTCCTTGCCAGCACATCAATCCACTCCTTTAACTGGCACCAGCACCCCAGCGTCCAAGCCAGCACCCTCCCAGTGTCCACAGGCACTTCCGCTGTGGCCTGCCCAAAGCCAAGTCCATCCTCCCCCTAAACCTGCTGCTCCTGCATTATCCCCCTCAACAGTATCTGCCCCAGCCACCCAGGCCAGAAATGGGCTGTCCTCTGTCCCCTCGTTCATCCTGCCTCTCTCCCTGCTCACCTTCCCCTGCGTCCTAAGGCCTCGTGCTAACCTGTCAGCTTGCCTCCACCAACCCTCTGCCCGGCCACCAGTTGTGTTTGCCAAACACTGATCACACCACTTGCCTCCTTCAAACCCTCGATAGTTGCCGGCGGATGAAGTCCACATTACTTGTCTGGCACACAGGCCCTGCCCTCTACCTGCTGGCTGCTCCAGCTGGCCTCCCGCTGTCTCCTCGCCCCTCAACCCCCAGGCCTGACCTTACACAGCCCAAGCCACGGGGGGCCCCACTTCCCAGGCAGGGGTGCACACTGCCTTCCCCACCAACTGGGCCCCTTCCTGGAGTCCCCCTCACCCTGCACAGCAGCTGCCCACTCGGCACCACTACCCTTAGTCACTCTGCCTGTTTGCGTGCTGGGCACCGGGCAGGCGATGCGGTGCCCCCCCTCACCTCCCCTTCGGCTGCTGTCTCCTTGAGCAGGTGGTTCCTCATTCAGGGCACCCTGCCCGCCAGGGCTCTAAGCGTGCAGGAACCTGCTATGTTAGCTCACAGACCCATCAGGAGTTCACGCTGAGGAGAAAACACAGAGCATTTGCGTGGTGAAAGAGAACATCAACTGAGGCAGGAGGAGCTCAGGGATAACTGCCAAGAGAAATGTGCAAGGACAGTGTTTTCTCGAGGAGTTCAAGGAGGATGAACTTAGCTATGCTAACCCTTGGGGGAGGCTCCCTGGGGACGCTAGGGTCTGGAGGTGTGGGGCAGGGGCAGAGCAAGGGCCAGGAGGCCAGAGGATGTAGAGCAGAGGCCCCAACTGCAAGAGGGAAGGCTGGGGGCCACACAGGTCAGGACTTGGACCTGCCCTGCAGGTGAAGGGGACTTTGGCAGGAGCCACAGCTGGGTTTGTGTTTAGGAAGATGCGTCTAGCAACAGAATGTACAGGAGAAGGTGTGGGGGTGCCAACAGGTGAATAAAGCAGAGAGGCTATTGAGGATGTGCCCAAGAGGAGCTAGGAGCAGATATGGCAGGGGCCCGGAGCCAGGGGCATCAGGAGGCAGCTTGCAGTACTGCAGAGGGATCAGGCAGCCCTGTTTCCACCAAGGGAGCTTGGCCTGCTGTCTTCTGACTGGGTGGAGAGTGTGTAGAAGGTGCTCACACTGATGCACAAAGCTGATGGATCCCAGCAATTGTGAGGTCAGCCACGCTGATTTTTCAGGTGAGGAAGGAAGCAGCCCCTGACATCCGGGAGCTGGCCTGGTCCTATCAGCTAGGCCCTGATGCTGCTAGGAGCTGGCCTGGCACTCAGATATAGGCCTCGGTGTTCTCCGGTTTAGAATATAAACAATTTCACACAACAGCAGCATCAAAGGTCTCTCTGTGACTGAGATGGGTCAAGACAAGAAGATTCCTGCGTAATCATGTCTGAAGACAGACAAAACCTGGGTCTTGTCCAAGCCACAAAGAAGACCAACAGCACCCTGTCCTGCCTTATCTGAGTAGCAGCTGCCTCTTTACAATTGACAGCTTTAGCTCACCTCTAGTCTGTCCTCCTTCCAAGGAAGAGATGTTGCGATATCATCACAGAATTACTCCCCTTCCTGACAGCATCCAATCCAGAGCAAAGCCCCACTTCCTTAAGCCCTTCCCAATTCACCCAAACAAGCCAAATCCCATAGTAAGTCTTTTCTAGCACCCACTTCCTGTGACTCCTCGCAGCTCCCCATGGCGTGTGGTCTCCCTTGCCGCAATAAGCAGTAGCACCGACCTGTTCAACCACAGACGGGTCCAGTGGGCTTCTGCTGGAGAGCGTAACTAAGGCCAAAGAAGGTTAATTTATTCTTCAATCAAAAATGTTTTATTAACATAAGTAATCATTAAACCCATACTGGTTTTCAAGATTGAACGACATGAAGTGTCCATGTCTCCATCATATTCCCTACCCTGCAAAGCATCACTGTCATGGGTGCCTGTGGAAAACCACAGTGAGAGGCCAGCACAGGACCCCAGCTCGTTTAACACCCAGCACAGGTGCCCTGTGCCACCTGCTTTCTGGATAATCAGGGTTCTGGCCTGGAAGTGCCTTCAGAACAGAGACCGTAACCTGTGCGTTTTAACACACAGGCCAGCACCCAGTCCAGGGCCAGGCACACCATACATGTCAACCATGGCATGAGGGAATGAACTTTACGTGGCACGGGCCGCACAAGCCTGCCCCAGGATCAGGGAGAGAGAATGCTGCAGCCTTCTGGACTTTGGCTCAGCACTAACATTGGTGGGGAGGCACGTCAGGAGTGCGGGCAGCAAAACTAAAAGCCCAGGGGAAGGTATGGAGGCACATTTGGGGGAAGCAGGTGGAAGAAAGAGAGGCTGCATGGGGGAGCTGAGTGTGGTCGAGGGCAGTGTGGACAGCCGTTGCGGGGGGGAGTCAAGAGTCTGAACTCCATACTGCTGGCAGTGATGAACCATGGAATCTTCCAGAGAAGAGCCTGGAAGTGGCTTGAGTAAAGAAAGGCAGGAAGATCAGCAAGGACCACAGTGACGGTGCAGGCAGGAAGGGCCTGCAGTGGGGGGCAGCGGGAGGGTGTGAGGGGAGGCACTGACCGGAGCCTGCTCCCAGCGCTGCAGCACCCACGCAGCCCCTTCCCCCTTGGGGCCCAGACGCTGCATCCCAGGCAGCAGGATGGCTTGGCCCGTTCTGCCACCAAAACATCGTTTCTTTTTTTTTTGTGAGGAAGATCAGCCCTCAGCTAACATCCATGCTAATCCTCCTCCTTTTTGCTGAGGAAGACCGGCTCTGAGCTAACATCTATTGCCAATCCTCCTCCTTTCCCCCCTCCCCGCCCAAAGTGCCGGTAGATAGTTGTACCCCGGTAGATAGTTGTGTGTCATAGTTGCACATCCTTCTAGTTGCTGTATGTGGGACGCCGCCTCAGCAGGGCCGGAGAAGCAGTGCATAGGTGCGCGCCTGGGATCCGAACCCAGGCTGCCAGTAGCGGAGTGCATGCACTTAACTGCTAAGCCACGGGGCCGGCCCCCAAAACATTCTCTTTCTCGAATGTCTTCTTTGTCTCAGGCTTGTCAGGCATTGAAGACCTTTCACAATGCCCAAAACGCAAACAACCCTCCCACCCCTACTCCCTCACTGCAACTTCTCAACTCCCATCCTCACTACTGAAGAGTCCCTCTTCTCCCCATGGCTCCTCACTCCCCTGGACCCACTTCACATCATCCACATCTCCTCCCTTGACATTGCAACTTCCAACCTTTAAGCTCTCATGCAGCAACTTCCTCCTTTGAAACCCGTGCCCTCTACTCTCCTTCATCCCACTCCATCCTGCTTTTTGCTGTTATCCAGCAGCTTCCTGTCCCTGGGAGGACTCTAGCACCAGGCTCCAAATCCTCCTCTACCCCAGTTGCTCTCATGACCCTGGGGCATTCCAGGTTCTATCTTCTGAATGCCTCTCACATCTATGCCCTTCTCTTGAGTCAAGACCAGGATCATCTCTGCAGCAGAGCACACCGCCCACCACCCGCCCCACCATCCTCTGCACTGCAGACAGAGGTGATGTCACTCCCCTGCTTAAACTCCTTCAGAGGATTTCCAGTCAAAATGGTGACCTGAACTGACTTGGGATCTGGCTCCCACTCTTTTTTTTTTTTTTTTTTTTTGTGAGGAGATCAGCCCTGTGCTAACATCCGCCAATCCTCCTCTTTTTTTGCTGAGGAAGACGGCCCTGGGCTAA